GTAAAGAGTAAACTGCCTTGTGGCAACAGTGCGTACTGGATCTGCAAAACAGCTTGTTATGATCAACTGGAATAATATAACTAACTCCCTTGTGTGCCATGGTTTAGTTGTTCGGTTAGGTTGTTGGGAAACCGTTACAGTCTAGTCTAGAACTCCTCGAATGTTCACGTCAAACGGCATGAAACTTGGTTTATTGAGGTTGTAATAATTCATGTTTCGCTCGTTACTCCGGTTTAATAAATGATTACAAAGCCCAGTCGAATTGTAATCAAGACCCAACGTTTCGACACTCCAGTCTAGTGTCTTCATCAGGGGTGATCTAAAGATACAATCGTGCATGGCTTCTTAAATACCCAAGGGATGACGTCACCTGCCAATGAGATGCATGTATTCCACTGGCAAATAGGCACCGTCATCCCTATTCAAAGCATAATTACTCATATTTATATGCCACGCTTCTAGGCAAAGTCTTTGACCATAGCGATTGTTTGTGGTAATTATAGAGTTTTCCCACGCAATCTTGTGTTTGGTGTAACATACATGTTCTGCTAAAGTGCCCACCTCATAGAAATAATAGATATAGAAATATAGAATGCGTACTCATATCTTTCAGTCAGTAAAAAATTTGTCTCCACAAAATGGCGGATTTATAAGGGCATTTTGGTTGGTCCCAGACTCCTGAGGCAAGGAATTTCGCGCGGTTGCAGGGAGTGCGAATTGTTTTTTTTTCAACTGTAAACTTTGCAAAACATTTTATATCGATACTTAAAATGGAAAAAACGTTTTGTAAAGGAGAAAAACCCTTTTGAGTGAGCTTTTTTACGAAAAGCAATTGTGCAAGCCAAAACAAAACACGAAAGATCAAGACAAATTCAAACTCACGTGTTCTAAAAATATTTCAACACTTTTATAATATAAATGGAGTTCAGTAATGTTTTTAAACTTACACAATTACTTTTCGTATTTTTCTACGTTGCTTGAGCTTGAGGCAACGCTTTTGAAACCATAGCTAAAAAAACTAATGACATGTGGATCACTTTCACAGACGCTATACCTGAACCACCACGTCTTCGTATTGGAAATGAGTTTATACTATAGAACAAGTCAATGTTTTTAAATTATTTGGCGTGTCGTTCCAAAAGAACCTAAAATGGAATGCACATGTTGAAGATATTACACGAAAAGCAAATAAACGCCTCTACCATCTTCAAGAATGCAGGAAACCGCGGTTACCAGTCGAAGTCGATATTATTACCTAACAATCCAAAATAAGACCAATTTTCGAGTATGCATCACCTAACTGGGCGGGACTCCCTAATTACCTGCGAGTCGGGTTCAATCCAGGAGCTTACGAATCCTTGGTCTGGAAAACGATTACCTGCCACAGTGCCTTTTTAACAAAATATCTGGGGGGCAATTGCCCCCCAGGGAAAGAATTCACCCCAGTAAAGCCATTTCTGCCCCCGAAGTGCGAAGCAGAATTGCTCATGATTGCTGTCAGAATTGCAGTTGATTTACTTGATAATGAGATTATGCCCTTCCATAGCCTCCTCCACAGCCATCTTGTGCGTAATTCATATTGTTCTTCACCGAGTATTTCATAATAGCGATAGATTTCATGCAAACAATCCGATAAAATGCTAGCCTTTCCAAGCCTTGCGACTATTTCCTAGCACTCTTCTCCGCAGAGGCGTTGTGTTTTGTTTTGGGAGGTTTTATTGCAAAATTTTTTTCTTAAAAATGTCAAGTTATATTAAGAGCCCCCCCCCCCCAATCGCCACGAAAACCATTCTCTCAGAAAGGCTAAATCCGTAGAGAAATTGGGAGAGGGGGGAGGGTTACACGTTACATGCTTGAAGCTGAAACTGATTAAGTACGCCTCGACTGAGGAAAAAGACGATATACTGGAGGAACTTGATTTGTGTGAAATCTCGTTAAAGCAGTTGTAGATATGGTTCCACGAAGATTAGATTTAGTTTAGATTTTTAACTGCTAAATACATGTATGCATCATCATAGCATGAATATTTCTTCTCAGACTTATTCTGTATCGTATGAAAAAGCAACACAACTTTTAGAATGCGGAAATGGTGTCTCATAGAACCTAAAATGATTTAAATGCAACATTTCTGATCAAAATCACATTGGGATCCCCCCCCCGGCATCACAGGGAGGAAATAAGGTGACACTGACCCCTCCTCCTATTTTTCAAGGTGACTTTTCCAATTTATTTAATTCCGAGTAGAAATGTCTGGAAAAATTCATGTCTTCGATGTACTTTATAATTTTCGGAATTCTGCTAGATTTCACCCCCAAAATGCATGAAATCGCAATTCAGGGACCCTAGATTTCAAAATTTTCCGGACCCCGGACCCTCCTAGACGGTCTCACGCCTTGAGCGTGAGGTTCGTCCCCCCCCCCGCAAAATTAAGGTTTGGCTACGCCACTGGTTATAGCTGTACGATTATAGCTACAAAGAGTTGAAGTTATTGTTTAAAGTAAAAAATAGCTGAAGTTAATATATTAAGGTTTTGCAAAATCTCTCTTCAGACTCGCGCGTTCGCCAAACCTCGACGTCTCATATTTTTCGTTGTGCCTTTTTTCCTGTTTTGTCCCCCCCAAGTGAAAATTCCTTAAAAAGGCACTGACCTGCTTCCGTTGAACGAAAGAAGGCCGGGAAGAGGCAACTAGTCGAGAAGTAGATAGATTTATGAACGATCCAAACCATCCCTGTCACAGTGTTTTGCCAAAATCAATTAACAATCAGTACAATTTAAGGAACATTGACCAGAATCGCAATATATCATTCTTCTCAGGAACTGAAAGGCAGAAACTCTCTACAAGGAAGAGCTTGTAAATATTTAGTTTTAACTTCTTAGTTATCTAAATTATCTTAAAATGAAAAATTTGTAATATAAAGACATGTTTCACAGCATATACTTTCTTAACAAGAATTTTACGTCCATTGTACTTTTTTATCTTAAGATACCCATTGGATGAATAAAGCTATTATTATTATTATTATTATTATAAAATAAATAATTTTAATTTATTTTAATAATTAAATAAATTTAATTATTAATTTTTGAATTAATTAGGGAACAAAATGAACATTTCAACTCAGTAAAATTTGTAAATCTTTCGATTAGTTATCTTGGTGCCTTCAGTAAAGAGTCTACTTTCATAGAAATGCTTAATGATTTTGGTTTTCAAAGCAACATCAGAATTACTGTATTAGAAGAATGACGACGATTGCAATCCGAACAACGTATTATATATTTAGTTGTCGAAATAAGGAATGGATGAATCCGGAACTGTCAGTTAAGTGTTTAAACGTTGTACTGTCATTTTGTTATCTTAATAGTATAATTTTTGCATATATAATCAGTGATTTAAGTAGCCAGTTGTAAATTACCTGATATAAGTGAGATTTGCAATTGTATATATAAGCTAAATATCCATTTAATAAAGTTTTCATTATAGTTTTCGACGATTATTTAGGCGATTTACATTTTAGCGGCAACTAAATATTTTTGTTTCAAGAACATGAAAACACTTCGTTTATACATTAATAAAGAAAAACGAAACCTGACGAAGAAAGAACTATCATTTTGTAATTTTATAAGATATTAGCAAAACAGTGACAGCAGTGACATTCAGAGCATGCAAAAATGTTTTATGAGTAAATTATATTTCCGCGAAACTACTTTGCTTTTACAAGGCTGCACGATTTTCACCGTTTTTGTAACTGCACATTTGCTTTGTGCCTTCAAAGAACTAAAAAGAGACCGTTCGTTTTTTATCAGGAGGATGGGGCTGGTGGTTTTGGGTGCTTTAAAATCATTAATAATTTCGTCTCGACCCCCCAACAGATGCAGGGAAATCGGCCCCCTTTCTACTCCAGGTTTTCCCCATAATCCCCCTAGATGCATGACCTAGGTATGGTCTTGGGCATTTGGTCATGCGTGTCATGGTAGGTCTTACCTAAGCATCACAAGATCGGTCCATGGTAGGTCCTACCTAAGCATCACTTTAATAAAGTTACTGGAAGTGATAGCATTTTTGCCAAAAGAAACGGAATAAAACTGCATTGCATTGCCTTAGTACTCAATGTCACGTCCAATAACTTTTAAATAAACAACCATAAAGACGAAGCTTTTTTCTAAGAAGATAAATATATTGCGTTTTAGAATGCCCTGAATATCACAAATATGTAAAATTTCTAATGCATGTACTAAAACTTTACATGATTCGTGATCAAGTGCGCATTCTATATCTATTATTTCTATGGCCCACCTCTACAACCCAAATTAACCAGAAGGCAAATTTATTTAATAAATTTGGCCCTTCCAAGAAACACTCTGAACAGGTAATGTGACACAGAGGTTGTTCAATAATTAATGTATTGACTGCATTTCTTACTAGGTCTGCGTGACTCTGGGTGTCTGGGCTCATTTCATCTACTCTCTGGGCTTCTTTGGTGACTCAACTCTGAACCACCAATACTTCAAATGGTTTCCTATTAATGCAATTGACGAAATAATATGGAGCTTACGTTGGGTCATCTCGCATCATCTGGGTCTTTATTACTTCTGCTACAGCAGACATATGGAGAATTTCCTGCACGATTCCTGCCTCAATCAAACCTTGTGGAGAGAGACATCGCGGTACCTGAGGAGAATTTGCCTGGCTGTGATAGCTATAGTGTTCATCATTCCAGTAGTGTTGCGCCCTCTCGAGCTGTCGTACTCGCTTGCCGCAGGGGACACTTGGTGCATAATATTGGATACAGGTCTCCTTGCAATAGATCGCCTTGTCACAGCCCCCATATTCTTGGTTTTCGTTTTTGAAGCGTATGTGCTTGTACGTGTCGTGAAAGGCTATGCCGAACGCATCAAAATTTGGCCTCAGGACTATAAGAACATTCCAGGTTCGGGCAAGCGGGCGGCGAAACAACAATTTATCAAAACACACTCTCTGATTGGTTCAGTTGGGAGTAACTTCCAATTGTACTTAGCGCTGCATTTCCTGTTTCTCATGATCACGGCTTTTCTCGGTGTCTTCGCATGCGCTGAACAACTTGAAGCCAAGGTAACTGAAAACCGCACCTACTACACCGCTGGAACACCAAAGTACTACAAACGGATGAAAATCACACCGTTTATAATAAAACCACCTGTTCAAATCAAAATGGTGCCCATTGAGTCAAGTCAGCCATATTTGCAAAGTTTAATTGCATTAAGAGCAGCGTCAAAAGCTAACAAGCCTAACAGTCTGCTTGTTAATGTGACTTTGAGAGAGGAAATCACGGAAACCCACACGGAAGCCAGTCAAAAACAGATGCTGATTGAAGTCGGGATTGAAGCCACTTTGAAAATCTTAGAGTCCATTGTGCTGTACATGATACCGCTGACACTTATGTTGCGCCTTCAAACAAAGTTGAGTATTGTTCGACAAACCATCTTGTACTCGGACTGCTTTGAACAACAAGAAAATGGCTATTTGTTTCAAGACGAAGAAACTATAAGAACAATGGCAGAATTTGTAGAAACATGTAAAGGCATAACCATATTTGGTTACAAAATGCCATTGTTTCGAGCATTCCTGCTCTCTGCCTTCGCGCCTTTTCTAACGGCTTTGACCACTTTCCTGTTTTCCTACATTCACGTTAAACGAAGATAGAGCTGAATTCGGCATTGAAACGTTGAAAAAGAAAAACTAATAGTTACTTTCAATCAAAGAACGGGAGAAATTAAAGAATATAAACGTCGATTCAATTATCTCGGACCGCATCTTTATCATTTCTGATACCCTAAATCTCTACTAAGACCACCAACCCCCTCCATGGGCACGGATGACAATTTTAGATGGTTTATTGTTAGAAAAATGGGAGTTACCGGATGTATATGTTGATTAAACTGATTTGCAAACATTTGTGGGTCCCAGCCATTAAAATACATCCTTCCAGTAAGTACGTCACTTTGGCTATACAGCCTCATTTTTGTGTACGCGACATTAGTTAAAGCATAACGTGTCAATCACAATCAATGACGCCAAGATGACGTACTTTCCGGAAGCGTGTATTGAATCAATACAAAAAGTAAGTTTCTTGGTCATAAAGGAGAAGTCATGGTTATTATAGAGAGGGGGGCCGGGCTAGTAGAGAGGGGCTTAATAGAAGTTGTATATACAGTATAATGTGTTCGCAAATTGGTTTTTGCCACTAGTTTAGGAAACTAAATTCAATAATAATCGGAGATGTCATGCAATGGGAGTAAAATGTAGCATAACCAAAGATGGTTGACATGTTGACATGGCATTAGTTGTAATATTATTATCCTAGGTTGTTTACTTTTTCTACATATGTTATATATTTTATCAGTATCGTTTTTGTAAATTTTTGGTAGGACTAATCAGTAGCACTTTATGATTGTTCAGTGAATAAAAACAGTAAAAACGTGAAAAACTTGTTACAATTTGCTACAATTTATTTAATTCTCATTAATTAATTCTAAACGTACATAAATAATATAAATTGAAGCTACTTTAATAGATAATGATTAATGTGCATGTCTACATTTATATTATTACACCCATATACATCATATACTAAACAATATATACCATAAGTGTATGTATCATATTTTTCATGACTTCAAATGTTGCTAGCTAACATATATATGATCTCCCGCCGTAGGAAATAAAGCTGATTAACGGTTACAGTATGTGTACAGCGCATGCGTGCTTGGGCACCATGTAACATTCACACCGCTAAACTGAAACTACATTCAAGTGTTATTTTTTTACTATCATTTTTCCATGAAAAATCATGTATGATTTGTGCAAATCTCCCAAACTGGTGAAAATGATCGACTTCCTTATTCGAATCCCGAAGTAACTGTCAGCGCAGTTTAGCAAAGTGCTTGGGGACGACGCTATCCAATCGCATATATAAGTTATATATTATGGACTCATTGGCCTTGCCTAAGTTGCCTTGTTTCACTGGAAAATTCGGTCATTATGATTGCAACGTTACATATTCTCATGATTTTGCACCGATATACCTAACAAAGGTGACCCGTGGGCAATCTACAATGATGGTTTCATCTTATTTGGTGCTTTTAAAAAGACTTGCCCTAAATTTGTACCTGCCAGAGAAAACGTAAATAAAGCAAGGACCACGCATAGACATGCAACTGCAACTGATGCATAAATACATGAATCAAGAAACAGGAGTGCTTAGAATAATTTCTTAAGTGCTAATAATTACTGATAATTTAATATTTTCTAATTTTCTGTGCTAATAATTGCTGATAATTTAACATTTTCTAATTTTCTGTAACTAACTCTCTATCAATCAACTTGGTAGTGTCCTCAGATCGTTCTGGCAGTTCTTGCTGATTGATATTCTCCAAGTCACCTGGATGATCTGCAGGCTCAGCTGACTCTACAGGCTGCGTTGAATTTGAAGGCTCGACTGACTTTACAGGCTCTGATGGTTTTTCAGACTGGGATAGATCTCCAGCATGAGCTGACTCTGTAGGCTGGAGTGACTTTGCAAGCTGGTCGTCAGGCGGGGTTTGCCATAGTGCTTCCCAATTTTCTTCATCGATATCTGAATGGGATTTCTTATTTGGTCCTTGCGGACTTAAGAACATTTCATCATCATCATCACCTTCTTCATCCACAATTTCCTCATTTCCATCCTCCTGAGGGAGGTCGGAATATTTTGATATAAGCTGCGTGGTAAGAAACACTGCGAGAATAACTCCCGTTACGACGGCAAATCCTCGGAAAGTTGACCTGAAGCCGAACACGTGAGAAACATAACCACCAACAATGGTTCCACCACCAGTTCCCAGGCCCCAATACACACCTTGCAGGATTCCTTTGAATGAAATAATCCACATGTTAAATTACAAGCCTGGTACAGGCATAAATAAATTGTCACTAATACCATGCCGTATAATATTATTGTAATATATTTTCATCACAAAAACACATCTTGCTCACTGGATTAATTTTCGGTAACCACTGACTATTCTAATAAAATACAATACAATGGAAACTCTGAAGAAATTCATAACGTTGAATCAAAAATATGAATGTTTTCACTGGATGAGTTGAAGGAAATATTATGTCATTAGATGAATTGCAAATTACTTCGTATTTCTTGCTGCTAAAATACATATCATTACGACATCCTTGTGAGAAAGTTGATAAGAATAAGACAAAGATATATTATTAACACTCTTTCCTCTTAGAATGACCCAAAATATTGCACATATACCATAATCTTATCATTGTTTGCGACACTTTAATATAATGAACATATAATTAAGCCGGCCTGTGAACTAATAGTTTCACAATCGAAGTCTAACTCATGCATAATGATAGATGCGGATCTAATGAAATATGCGGATCTAATGTATAATGAGATGCACGAATCGTTTGTGTTCGGTTTACTAACACAGTCAAGCCTCTCCAATAAAGCAATACGGACGTTGAAATGTGCGGATTAGAAAGATGTCCGTTTTATAGAAGTTAAAAAAGTATATTATATCTGGTCAGTTGGGACATTGAAAATCGTCTACGATAGAGAGAAATCTCCATGCAGCTGTCGAAGCTCGACTGCAAGGCTCATTCACTGTGAAAATCCATCATAAAAATTCATATTGATTAATAATCATATCTATTTTCCATCAACCATGGTACAAGGTCAGAGGTACAAGGTCAGAGGTACAAGGTTATGACTTCCGGACATTTTAAAAAAAAAAGACTCAAAAAATGTTTTTCGGACAAACACCAAGTAGAATTAAGGTCTACGAAATTTTTATCATACCATTGCTTATGAAAAACGTTCCAAATATTTTTTTAATTACACCTTTTGGGGCCCCTCTTTTGCAAATTTTCGGGGCTCGGGGCAAATGCCCCGATCCCCCCCCCCCCCCCCCCCGATAGGTTACGTTACAAGTGCTCAAAACTAGCGAGTAAATATTATACAACTCCTGGTTATATTTAAAAAATGTATTTTTTCGATACATTTCGCAATCGGCAAACAAATTTTAAAAAATATGTTTTGTGCTTTATAGACAAAATGATGCTAAAAATATATAATTTATAAATGACCCATATAGACGGTACGCCAAGAGGGAAAAGTATGTCTGCATGACTCCATGAGTTCAGTAAGTTTTGCATATATTTTATATTGCTGTAATTATATGGTGTCAGATCAATTTTGAATATCATGATCATTGTGACATTGATGATTGTACTTGACATTGATTGTATTGATAACTTATTATTACTTCATGTTTTCAACTGGTAGATGCATTTAACTGCATGCATAAACTAGAAAATAGAAATAACTTTGAGAGGCAATAATATTCTACTAGGTTTTGAGCGATTTTCATCGCAAAACATAAACTGTTGAACATGAATAGAGAGTTTAAGCTTCGCGTTATACGGCAAACGCCAGGCAACGAAATATTTTACGGTATCAGGCAATAAAGAATAAATGAACTTGCTGTTTTAGAACTGCAATGCATGACTATTCTTTCGACACAAGAAAGAAAATACGAAACTAAAACGTTTAACGAAAATTTTGCGAAGAAAGTTCGAAACTGCCGTTTGCCGTTCCCGTAAACGCCAAGCTTAAACTCCCTAATATAGTGACGCTCAACACTGAGCCGTATACACTGTTTAAATGGATCATCTACACTATATATACGTACCATAACTACCGTTATACCTGCATATGAACAGTCAATGATAAAACAATGCATCCATCCTGAAAGTACGCCATTTTCGCTATAGAGCCTCGTTTTCGTTACATTAGGCTATGACAATGTGACATCTCAAAATGACGTATTTTCCGGAAGGGTGTATATTGTCTACTCACATGAAACTCATGTTTGTCAAGAGCATTTCAATGACATGTTTTGTAAAATCTTAACACCAAACTTCACAGTAAACGGTCAATCAGGTGCTTAACAAGCCTTATACAAGTGACATCTGAAGTTTGAGCATAAGTGACAATATCAAATGCTCTTTGGTATACAAACATTAAAATTTCACGCGAGAATGGACAAGTGATTATATAATCATACATGAGAAGCAACGCCTACACCATTATATGCCTTTGCCCGGAAGAAGATCCGGGCTTACAGATTGAAAGTTTCAGTTCTCAAAGAAATAAGACGGCGTTTTTCATAAAACAAAAGAAAACACTGAATGATTAATCGCATGCAAAACATACATGGAGAACTTGTAAATTAAGTATAACTACTACAACCTACTGTAATCTTACCTTGCACAGTAGCACTAGATCCAGCAGGTGCAGCCTTATTAAGATACGATACTGATGCCGACCATACTAGTGCATAAGCACCAGCATGTAAGACCTCTATAGGAACTGCATACCAGGGTTCTGTGAGATACGAGTAAGATACAAACGCTCCAATGTATGCTATCAAACTGACTGTGACTGTATTAAGATGACCCAAGACATCAATGATTCGTCCGGCTAGAAAGAAGCCAAGGACATCCATAATACTCTTACATGCTGTGGCTGTGCCCATTACGATAGCAGTACCGCCAAGACTGTCTATAAACCAGTTGACAAAATACAGTAGGAAACCATAACACACACCAGCATAGAATGTCACAAACAAAAATATACCATAGTGGAAATTTAACAGAGCGCTTTTTACTGTCTGGTGCACATGATCATTGTGATTATAACTGAACTCAAAATGCGACCCGAATAATAACCCCAGGTACATAAACCCGAGATAAAAATAAAAAATAATAAAGTAAGAACCGGTACTTGTACCGCAATAATCGCGAGTTAGGTGTGTGATCGTAAATCCTATGATAGGAGACATAATACCCCAGCCTGCCGAGCCCCATAAGCGATAGTAACCGTAGTTTTCACTGCCGAGTGTGTCAAGACAAGATGTATCTGCTAGAGTGAATACAGCCGCGTCAAATGCATCGCCGCATACAACGAATAATAATATCCAGAAAAATATACGGGTTGACTCTTCATCGTCGTAGATTAATTTGTAGTGTACGCTGTGATCATGATAGTTCTTTACTAGTGTTCTTTCATCAGCCATGGAATTATCCGCATCTGACATTTCCATAATGTCTTTGTTAACGATATTGCCGAGATGCTTTGGGGTTGTCATCGCGTCTAACCCACCTCGCTTCGATATGTCAGTATTTTTATCAAACAAAACAGTGTCCATGGTGTTTTCAAATGGTGCCCATCGCTTAATTATATCATGTTTGACAACATATGTCTCATTTCTTATGATATTTCTCGATGAATTGTAGTATGTTACGACACACAGTGTGCTCTCAGGACGGAATACGAAAAACATCATAGTTTTAACTGTCATAACAACGAACGCAACGATAAAAATAATTTTTCTAATCCGAAATCTATCTCCGATAACGCCCCATAGTGGTGCCCCGATTGTTTGCATCAGAGGTCGAATGCCGTTTAAAAGTCCGACATAAATAGCACTCAGACCAAGATATTTAAAATACACAGGAACGTAGAGCAGAAACGAAATATAACCAGCGTAGAATACGAAGTAGAATGCCTTGTATAGCATTGGAGTTTTAGACGTGAAGCAACTTGGTAATATCATCTTGTGGTCGGTAGAATTAGCGAGATGTTCGTTGTTCGAATTTAAAACACTGACGTGTCTTCTTCGTTAATTAAACCGAGTTTCGTGTTTAAGCTGAAGCGGTAGTTGCTTAACAACGTAGTCTTTACTAAATTACTGCCAGTGACAGTGTGTTTGTATTGAAATATATAGACTATACTTAGCTTCTCAATTTTATATTCTCACTTTTATATTCCTGGTTAACCATCAAGTAGGAACCTTTCTTCTGTAGTACAGGTGTGCCCCAGAATGCCGAAATCGCAAAAAACTTCACACGATTTTACACGTTATGAATTTTGACAAAACATAATGCATATTAAGTGCATGTCAGACTCGAGACTACGCATTTGCATTGCAGAATAATTCAAACTAATTGTTCGCATGGTAATTTTGTCAAGAAAAATGAATCAATTTGCATATGAGTTATAAGCTGCAAACTGTTCTCCAGCTTAGATGCGGTACAGTCCATTCGCATATCACCTTTGTAGTTTACATTTTTGTGTCCAAACTTTATTTCACGACATATTCTTCATCCGACATAGCGTTACGCTGTCAAATTTTGAAACAACTCCAAAAGATCGAGGTTAAATATAGTGCAAATAATTTATGCCATTATTGATTTTTTTTATCCTACAATGTTTTCCATGCGCACTTAGGGATTCAAGTGGGATCGCGTGCAGGTGGTACTAGGTGGTTATCAAGATCAAATTGGAAATATAGATAACGTACGAGCCGGTAGTCGGGTAGATCTGTATGGGTATGCAAACTGTCTTATTTGAGACAAGGTTATATTACTGAAGAGTGAAGAGGAAATCGATGTCAAATATCATACAGACATTAGAGAGCTCTTGATATCTACGACGCGGAAAACTTATGCAATTGTTGGCATAGGCGCACGGGACGGGGGGGCAGGGGGGGGCAGCTGCCCCCCCCAAAGATTACAAAGTCGAAAAGTCGGGCAAATGTTCAACAAAAGTCGGGCAAAAGTCGGGCAAAAAGTAGTCAAAGCAATAATAATAACGCCAGTTTGCTGGGTAAATAAAGCCAGTTGGGCAATATTCACTTCACAGTCGGGCAATATTGGGTATTATAAAAATAAATTGGACAAATTCTGTCAATTTTGCGGGAAATTATGTCAATTTTGTGACGTTTGGGAAAATTTGTTTGATGTTCCGAAAAATTTTGGTATGTCCGAAATTTTTTTGGACCCCTAAAATGGTACACTAACCGAAATTTTTTGGCGACGGAGGGGAGGAGGGAGGGGGAGGGGGGGAGGGAGGGGGGGAGGTCGACCAAATTAATTGTTAACGGAAAAAAAAAATTTGGGCACTGGTCGGGCACAATCCGAAAAAGTCTGGCAAATTTCTTTCCGCCCCCCTAATTTTTTCCTTCCCGTACGCCCATGATTGTTGGTTTCAGTGCCGGAATAAGTGCAAGTTATTTATATATTGTAATAAATATTTGAATCTGTTTCAACCAATTGCAACCTTACAATTTAAGTAAAACCCCTTAAGTCGCAATAAGCTTCTACATTGCTCGAAAGATGTGATAATCTTAGTTTAACATTGTGCTCATAATGACAACGTCGTTGAAGATACCACTAGGACTACATGCAAATTATTCATGTTTTTGCCTTGCATGAAAAGTTCTTTTGTTTTCTTGATAGCCAAATTTCTTGACTATCTACTTGTTGATGAAGTAGAATCAAAAGTACTAAATATTAATAAAAATGGCGTCCTTTTAATAAATCGACACCTTACCTTGTTTCAATGTTTCATATAATTATGCATTTATGCTCTGGACTTTCCAAACGGAATGATTTAGGTTAATACTTACACTAAGTACTTCCAGCGCGAGAGTAAAGTAAAGCATGCATTTCTGTTGGACTTCTTTATGCCAAAAGCAAAGAAAAGTAAAGAAAACCCTCTTGAAGATTCAATTGGAATCACAGAGGCGCCGGAATATCGATAATTGCGGGGGCAGATATTCATATATTCGTGTTCACAGACCATAAAAACAATCGATTTCACAAGAAATTAATTGGGCAGAATACGAATATATGAATATCTGCCCCCAATTATCGATATTCCGGCGCCTCTGATTGAAGATACAGATCTACAAGCTGACAATTGTGTTTCGCAACAAACCAACAACTCCAACACGTAGATAAATGAAATAAATTCCGACGTTTCTCCGCATGCTTCATTAGATACGGGGAGAGGCGAAGATATTGAAATGATCGAAACCAACGAGAGGGACAGCTCCGAAACGGAGAATGACCACAAGAAAATTTGATGGAAACTTAGAAACTATGGAAAACGATTTGAGCGAATCGAGTTCTGTTGGTTTGCCAAACGCTAACCTTAATGCCTCCAATGAAAATTCCGAATTCTTGTGAACTTCTATTGCACCTTTAGTTTGGTCTGTTGAGCAACAAGATTACTTTACTAGTGCATAACCCTGGATTATTTTTTCAATGGAAAGATGGTTGTCGCAAATGTAGAAACGTTAACACTCTTGGACTGCATGCTAAACAACGAAGCCATGTATAAGTAAAGAATGGATAGAGTGTACTGTTTTTCCATGCAAAACGAAAGTCGCGAAACGTCAGCAGCACAAAAGTACTTACGAGTTACGAAAAAAATCACCAAGCATGCAAAAGGTAATGCACACGTAACTGCCACCAACATTCTCAAAGAACGACAAAAGAGAAAGATCCAGAGCTCAACGGCTTGTCTGTTGCACAACATCAATCAGCTACTGAAAAATGCCTCATGCAGTACTGCCTATTATGTTGCTAAAGAAAACAGGCCATACTCAGACTATGAGAATCTGGTAAAGCTTCAGCAGAAAAATGGAATAAGTCTCGGGGTAACTCTACACTCAAGGTGGTTATGTACAGAAATGATTGACATAATTGCCACAACAATGCGAAAAAAAAAACTTATCAAGGAAATTACCAAAAATAACAAAAAGATCGCCATTATAATTGACGAAGCTACCTCAAATGCAAAGGATTCTTGCCTGTGGTTGTGTATGTGAGGTCGATCATAAACGGTTTGGCTGTTGACATTTTTCTAAGTATCATTGAACTAGGGGGTCAAGACGCAAATTCAATTTATGAATCACTTTTAGATTCGCAGAAAAGTAACGGAATTAAGGACAAATACTTGGCCAAAAATTTTATTGCATTTACCAGTGGCGCATCAATAATGACGGGGGCAATCAAGGGGGTCGCGACGTTACTTAAGTCGAAGTATCCGCAAATTGTTTTGTGGCATTATCTCAATCACAGATTAGAATTAGCGGTATCAGATACAATAACAGCTGTTGATGGTGCCCAACATATTGAAGATTTCTTTCGTAGGATTTACACGATTTATTCTCAGTCAGCAAAACTGCAAAGACAACTGGAGAATATTGGTGCTGAACTAGATGTTCAGCTGTGCAAAGTAGACAAAATTTTGACAACAAGATGGGTGCATCTTCGTTCCGTGCGGTGGAATCTTTTTGGAGAAATTATCCTGCACTATACAAGCATTTCCACACACTTTCACAGTCCAACGACAAGCACAAAGCAACATATGCGGGATTAGTAAACGTATGGAAACGATAGAGTTTGTCGAAGACGTAGCTATTATGAAAGACTGCCTTGGACAACTTTCAGTCTTGTCCGAATCACTACAGAAGGATCGCACCACGCTCCTTAAAGCATCTGACTGCTTGCAATGGACGATAAACGCACTGGAAAAAATAGAAGATTCTTTGGAAACAAAGTATGAATTTAGGAACATTTACGATTCCTCAGTGGAGTTTAAAGGCGGGCAGTTAAAGTCATTTCAGTCTCGGACTGGATACAAATCGTTCAACCGAAAGCAATTTCTGCAGGGTTTGAATGATAACCTTCAAAGAAGGATGATCGATTCATCTGAGAAGATATTGTTAAATCAAATTGAATCCCTCCGCCCAGAAAAATGACCAAGGCGGGGGGAAAGATTCCATGGCTCAAAGGTGAGCAAGATGTTATATTACTTAGTTGCGAGAGATTTAACATCGACGCGACCGGCATAATTACATCGTATCGAGAATAAGAATTTTTTAATGATCCTTCGCTCGAAACATTCCCTCGCTTGTTGAAGAAAGGCTCCTAAAAGGGCTTATTCAAATTGTGCCAGTTAGTAGCGCAGAGGCAGAGAGGGGATTTTCACAAATGAACTTAGTGTGTATAAAGTCGTACTCTAGCATGTCTGTTTCTCAATTTATCCTCCTTGATATTCATAAGCATCAATGGTCCGCCAGTACAATTTTGGGATGCAAGTTCAGCTGTCCAACAATGGCTGGAACACCACAAGTCTGCTGAAAGTAATCAAACTAGAAAAATGAAGCAGACGAGTAAGAGTAAAAGGAGTAAAACTCGGTAGCAGTGTAACACGAAAGTCGAGGTCAAGTCGCCAACTTGCATTATGGATTATGCATGGCTATATGTAGATTATGACTTGAGTTGAGACGTATACTTTCACTTTTTTACTGGCATTTAAATGAAACTTCTTTTTTGTAGCCTCTGCAGTGCTTTAAGTTAACATCTAAATCGCGGTATTCTATAGTTTAATATAGAGACATAGCTCCACTCAACAAACAGAAGATGATTGACTTGGTTCACATTAATTAAACCTATACGTTTCATCGATTGAGAATGAACAAATAAGACAAAATTATTTATTAATATTATTGCCTATTAGGGGTGGATAATGATTAATTGCATTATTTTGTAGGCTAGTATTAGCTACTTTTTCAAAATGCTAGTAGTCTAGTACTAGACTAATTGCTGCCGAAGGCAGCACACTATTCTTGACGATGTGTTTTTCTCGCACCAGTCCGTTTCCGGCTCGCGAGTTATGTGGATTCAACAAGTCATTTTTGGGAATCTTGTACGGATGATTTCGGATGATCAGATTTATGACGTATTTTGACGTCACAGAAATTTTACTGTAAAAATAACATACTCCAGATCGCGATTTGACTTTCCGAATACCCTGGTTGAACCTCGCGAACACCACCATGGACCATGACAATAGCGTTGTCCGCAGTAGCTAAAAATAGATTTTCCAAATGAAGACCCCCCGCGAGACTCAGACAAACAAACTAACATTTTGTATAGAATTGTACTAGCAGCGAACATAAATTGGTCTAAATTGACGTTTTTATACCCCCGC